GTGTTTCACAAAATTTGGAGTAGAATTTATTCCTTAGAAAAGCCGTGCTCTAGTCATGTGTGCTTGGATGAAACCTATTACGTCCTATGCAACAGTCTTTAACATGGTGATTTTCGGTCAGTAACCAATGGATTATGCGTGATACATTATTAAATGACTGATCGATGGTTTGAGCGGTATATCAGGTTTTAATACAAGTCATAAAGTATAGGGGCACATGAAAATTCAGATCGCATATTTTCATCTCAATAGCGTGATTAACCAAGCACAATATTATGAAAATATCTCAAATTTTTATGCGTTTTTACCAAAGCTGGATTTAATGCAACAAGACTCCATGTTATCTTATCTGATATCGATAGAGATATAATAAAACTTAAGGACCATCCAATAATGCGAAGAATAATGCTTTTATAAGTGAGAAAAATCTAGTTTTGTGGAACACGTTTGCAAATGAGCGTTTTAATACAGCGTGTGGAAACAATAAACCACTATCCTTCTAAACCACAGATCACAACGTGCATTTCAACATGTTATTTTCAATTTTCAGAAGAATCTCACATTTTAGGGTTTTGAAGAAATTTTTACATTTTGAGCCTATGGTATATCTCAAAATGAACAAAAACTCATCAGCAATAACCCTGATAGGCTCAATACACGAAGCTTACACATTTATCCCCTTTTCTGCACTACTGTCAACCCAGAACCAAATAAATACTAATATAGAAATCAAAGAAATATAAAAACGATCTCTGAAAAAATCAACTGCCTAATTGAAGGGATGAATTTAAAGAGCGAAATGGAATCATGCATCCGAGTATATGAAAGTTTTGAAAAATGTTTTTTCTCCTCTTTTGAAACAACGTTATAGACAAAATACATTCAATGTTAGACACCGAAAGATGATAGCCGCTTGAGTTTTCAGATATTATGATAACTATGACAAGCGTCTTCATGCTCATTAAAATTGGTTCAATCATCTTTCACAAAATGGAGAGAAGTCTTAAATTGATCTTATAATATCGCTTTTGTATGCATTCATCAAGTGAATTATCATTCAATAGTCGAGTGGCTTACTATTAGACGAAGATGCCGTCATCGTTGTTGTTGTTGACGCCGTTGACGACGTGGTGGTTGTCGATGTTGTCGGTGGTATTGTTATAGCTTTACATAAGAAAAAAACTTTATATAATGACGCTATCATTTATTCAATGCAATCTTCTGTTGCTGACATCTCTGAACAATGGATAATTCATCGTCGAAGAACCTAACTTTGACTATAATCTAGCCATTGTCTAGTGAATATTTCAGTATAGTAGATGCCTTTTTATGTCTTTCTTCCGTAGCTTTGGCTGGGATATCGCTACCACGTAATGGACATCTTTAATGTTAAAACCCAAGAACAATTTCAAGTACTTTCAATCGGTCAGAAATGATGACCGTGTACTTAAATATATTTGCTAATGTGGAAACAGACCGTGTTTACGAAACTTTAAATAATAAATGAGGTCACGCAATCTTTCTTGAAGAAACTTTTCTAAATCGATACATATGAACGAGTGACTGCTTCGATGGGTGGATGTAGGGTACGCTGGCAGATAGTTAGATTTTGAAGCTAAGAGAGGGTGTGGAGTGATGTAGATTCAGAGAATGTTCTCCTTCTACTGATGTCACACAATCAAACTCGACTTACACCCAAATAACAATAGTTTAAGCTGGAAGCTCTGAAAATTAGACGCATTTTTTTATGCACTGTGCACGGCAAAAGTTGGTTTACACGAATTTAACCAATTGACTAATGTCCTAGATACGTATGTATTGATGACAGTATAGTGTACTCTCACCGACTGAAAAAAAACGTTAGATGAACTTGGATATGTACCGAATTCGAGAGCAATTTTGCGTTTCGATACCAAGTTTTTCAAGATTGAGATTGAACATTTATATTCGAAGTCGAACTTTTCATGCTCGAACAGTTTGAGTTTGGCCTGTTTCTCGTTGAATTTCTACATTTGTCACAGAAAAATTTTAATGGTAGATATGAGCGAGGATGCACTAAAAAGAGTAAGTACTCTACCAAACTTACAAGGATTCCGAGATTTGCAACGAATTCAAAACTATTGGGCAATATCGTACGGAACCTTTGCCGGAGTTTCCGATATCTTTAAGGGTTTTGTGAGACTTTACGAAATCCTTCGACAACTTGGAAGGTTCCTTATGACATCACAAAATGGTTTCGACTTTGTTGCAAATCTCGGAACCCTTTTGAGTTTCGAATAGTACTTATTTTCTCTTTTAGTGTGGGAATCAGAATATATCTTGATGCTACCTATTAAACTACGTACAAGTTATCCTGTTGAATGTACGTACAACAGACTGTTGCCGATTGGTACGAGTCACCAAGTTATATTGGCAAAAGTATAGTGAAGTTTCACCATCGGCGAATATCCTGTTGGCGAAAATCTTCTTGACGAAATTAGGGAATCCGAAGAAGTTCTGGGACAAACTTTCCTTCTTGATAATCTTGTGTTAACAAGCTACTATGAGTGAGTGGGGAGGTGTCCGCCAATAAGACATTATTATTGACAGCTCTTTGAGTTGTCAGGTCCGTTTACAAACATTGGTATAATTTCTCGTTTAGAGTTCATAATTGTACTAGTGGATACGAAAATAAAGTGTAGTAAGAGTCAAAATTATTCCAAGTAGCCGCTCGATAGGCATTTCAAGGTGTCGATTTTGGGCTTTCGCACCCATCGAAAAATAAAACGTACTGCTCGGATTCTCATTTTCGAATAGGTCAAGAGCTTTGCGATGGGTAAAGGAATCTGCAGTTTTCGATCCCTCCAAGTAATTTATCCGATAGATAAAAATAAAAAGTCTCTTTTGAAAGTAGAGATATAGAAGTCTTATTTTCAAGCCATCGGAATCTACCAGAAAATGGTGAAGAAGTAGGCTTGAACTTAGGTACTTATGTTTTTATAGTCATCGAACATCTTAACTAAATATGAATTATTCTTCTATTTTGAAAGCTGTCTATTCACTTGTTAGACGCATCCTATTTATAATTCATTTCAGACTTTTTCATCATCTTTTAGCATTTCATAAAACGATGTAGTTAGATCGAAATCTGTTTCTTAGATTTTAATTGTCAAATCTAATTCTATTCTTAACTTCATATACTAAGAGAATAACGCATAAAAAAATATCAGTACGCTATAAATAAATGATTATTTTTCAGAAAATAGGCGATCATTACTTTGCAGATCTTGCTCGAACACTCCATTTTAATAAATTACGAATTTTCAGTATGTATCTACAGGGTGTCCCATAAGTAACAAGACAAGGAAAAAAAGTTTGAATA